ACACCCACCCAATTGGCCATACCCAGCCAATGAGCCACACCCACCCGGCACTTGACGATGCATAAGTGAGTTTTGGGTTGCAGTTTGGGCACTCGGTCTCTAAAAGGTTCGCCATCACTGTTCTATATGGATGTTTTTTGACACAAATCTGCAAAGGACCATCACTTAGCAAACTCTGAATGACCGATTTAAAAATGAGGAGGCTGGTGGGGGGCGGGGAGAGGGGGGAAATTGTCCTTTTCTTCTGTGGTCAGAAACATCTACTTGACTATCCCCGAATAAGCAGTGTAGTACAGATAGTCCTTGACGTATGGCTACAACTGGACCAACATTTCTGTTGCCAAGCAAAGCAGTTGTTAAAGTGAGTCACGCCTGGTTTTACATGGTTGTTAAGTGAATCACTGCAGTTATTAAGAGAATCATGGGATCATTAAGTGAATCCAGCTTCCCCCATTGACTTTGCTGGAAGCTGGCTGGAAAGGTCACAAACCATGATCACATGACCCTGGGATGATGCAACCATCGTAAAAACGTGCCAGTTGCCAAATGCACACATTTTGTTCATGTGACTGTGGAGATGCTGCAACTGTTTCAACTGTGTGAAGGTTGCTCTTAAGTCACATTTTTAGTACCCTTGTATCTTGTAGAAGCCGTAGTGGCACAGTGTTTAGAATGCAGTATTATAGGCAAGCTCTGCCCACAACCTGGAGTTTGATCCTGACTCAGCCTTCCATTCTTCCACGCTCGGTAAAATGAGGACCCAGATTGTTGGGGGGCAATATGCTGACCTTTGTAAACCACTCAGAGTGTTGTAAAGCACTATGAAGCAAGTTTAAGTGCTATTGCTGTTGCTAAATGAATGGTCCTAAATTGAGGATTGCCTGCATTAATATCTTGCTAGGGATGGGTTTCATGCACTGTCATAGTTCTCAGCAGTGGTGGGTTCCAAGATAAAAAGATCATAACAACAAGAAGAGAAGGTTTTAAACCTCAGTCAAGAATCTGTCTTCAGCACGGAGGGAGTTAATTAAGCAGAAGGATGGGTGCATTCAAATATGCAGCTCATGCAGGTCCATTTCCAATCCAAAATAGCTCCATCCAGAAGGGGGGGGGGAAACCTCAATCGTTACTAATTCTGCTAAAAAAAAACCCTGTCCTGTGTATGAAAATATTTTAACCGGCTTTATAGAGGTTTAATCAAAAGCTTGCCTACAACAAAAGACAAAGATCTCTCCCCCCTCACTTTTCTAAGCTTGGTGTAAGTCGAAGAGAGAAGAATTGAAATCAGAGGAGTCAAGACTACTGTAATTTCTCAGCCCAGACATGGAGACCCAAGTGGGGGCTCCTAATGAATTCAAGAGTCAAGTTTGGATTGAGCTATGTTCACGTTTGGAACTCTGTGTCAAGCGGATGGAAAAAAAAAAAAAAGAAGGGGGGAGGGAGGAGACTTTAAGCAAATAATTGAGTGCAGAAATGAAAGCTTAATTCATAAAAGCAAAACATTTTCCATTCATCAACCTGCAAGCAGTTAAAGGGGGGTGGGGGCAGCAGTTTGAAAGAAAAAAGGCTGCCTGCCATTCGGGGGTGGGGGGGGAAAGATCCAGCAGGAAAACGGAAATGCAGAAAAGAATGTAAACTAGTTGGGTTTCACAGAGCGCAACAAGTAAACAGTTATTACATGCAAATCGTTTGTAAGATCATTTGCCGAAAAAGCCCCAGAAATCTTTTTCACAATTCCTATATGAGGGACTCAACATTTGGGGAAGGCCAGCAGGCCCCCACGAGACCTGGAGGGCCTGCCACATTTTGCAGAAGGAATGCGTGCTAAAGACGGTGCTTGGGTGACAAGGAAGATTGAATTAAAATCACCCTAAAGCCATTTTGATCCAATGACTGCTCTTTTATTCACTGATAATTCTATAGAACAGTGGTGGCGAACCTATGGCACGGGTGTCAGAGGCAGCACTCGGAGCACATGTGCTGTGGGCACATGTGCTGTTGCCCCAGCCTTGCTTCCCCCCGTGACCTCCTCTCCAGCAGCCCCCCTGAAGGAGAGTCGCCCCCGAGCGTGGCCCACACGGAGCAGCGCAGCCAAGGACACGGCAGCCAGGCAGCATAGACAAGACTCTGCCCTCACACCCCATCGTGCACAGTTGATGCTGCAGGACGCAGGCAGAGGTGGGCCCTGGAGGTGGTGAGTGCCCCTGCGGGCAGGCAGGGTGGGAGATGGGGGGGCGGAGTGGGGGGCAGTTTTTGGGCACTCGGTCTCTAAAAGGTTCACTCTCACTGCTATAGAATTTACGTGTCAGGGTTGATTTGGGGAGTAGCTACCAAAAGTCAAGATGATAGCTGTAAAAGTGCAATTGAAACTCCATGTTCAATTGTAAAACACACACACACACAGACACAGACAAACACAGCAGGTGAGTTGCAATAGAAGAGAATATTTGTAGCATAGGATTGAACTATGGGGGGCCTTGGTGCTCCCTGAGCTTGGTGATTTTCTTGCAGACCTTTCATTACCAAACTAGGTAACATCATCAGTGCCCTAGTTGTGTATTGATCAATGCATCATTGCAACACACTGATGATGTTACCTAATTTGGTAATGAAACGTCTGCAAGAAAACCACCAGGCTCAGAGAGCACCAAGGACCCCACAGGTGAGTTTCAAACACACCAATATGGCTATGATCATGATTTTTTTTTTTACCATACCTCGTGGACTTCCTTGCTCAAACTGGTCTAAGGCTGTTTCCTACGAATGCACAGAGGGGTAACTATTGGTTTAGATTGCTAAAGATTCAGGAGACTGTTATGTAAACAGTCAGTTGCAACGTCCCCAGGATCCATGATGAAACCTTGCTGGATCATAGGACGGTGGTTACAGTGTAAAGTCTCCTCCTTACAAGAATGAATGAATTATACTGATAATGTTGTATGATATAAATTGGTTCTGAATAGGAAAGAGTTCTGTTGCTGGAATACATATAAAACTTTCATCTCAGTAAATCTAGCTAAAAGAAACTATGCAAGAATTATGCTTGGACAAGAATTCCTTTCATTTTCAAGCATTTATCCAAAGAAGAGAATATCTGTAGCTCAAGGTTGAAACTGTGGAGTCCTTGATGTTCTCTGAGCTTGATGGTTTTCTTGCAGACATTTCATTACCAAACTAGGTAACAATATCAGAACAATACCAAGCTCAGAGAACGCCAAGGACCCCATCTTTATCCAAAGGGTGATAAAAGGCTGGTGATACTGATGGTCTAAATCCCAACACATCTTCCTGCATACATGGCTGGCTGGAGAATTCTGGGAATTGAAGTCCACACATCTTAAAATTGCCAAGTTTGAAAAACACCGACTTAGCCTCTGAGCCATGGGACAGGGGCCATACACCCAACAGCAAACAGAAGCCAGAAAATGAAAGAGATAGGGCCAAGCCAAGATGAAAGGTAATTTACTGTTAATCAAAATGAAAGCAATTAAACACAATGAAAGCAATTACTCTCTGTTGTTTCGTAATTAAGCATTAAATGTTACAATTCAGCAGAAATATTTGGAGAAGCTTTAAAATCCTCAACGAAGGATTGAGGGGGAGACATAGAACCGTGGGACTATTGTTTATATACAGTTGAAGTCTACGCCTACTGATGTTTCCTTCCAGAACTTCATATGCACAAACACTTAACCCAGAGCACACTTCAAAAATCTTATACAGGTAGTCCTCAACAAGGTCATTTGTTTAGTGACTGCTTGAAGTTAACAGCACTGAAAAAAGCTGACTTATGACAGTTCTTCACACTTACAACCATTGTAGCATCCCCATGGGTCACGTGATCAAAATTCAGATGCTTGGCAACTGGCCTGAATTTATGACGGTTGCAGTGTCCCAGGGTCATGGGATCCCCTTTTGCAACCTTCTGACAAGCAAAGTCAATGGGGAAGCCAGATTCACTCAACAACTGTGTTACTGACCTAACAACTGCAGTGATTCACTTAACAACCATGGTAAGAAAGATCCTAAAATGGAGCAAAAGTCATTAAACAACTATCTTGCTTAGCAACAGAAATTTTGGGATGAGGTTTGGTCAAGGACTACCTGTATGTATCTCAACTTTACAATAGAGAACATCCTCTCTATTGCAGGGGTGTCAAACTCAATTTCATTGAGGGCCGCATCAGCATTGTGGTTGCCCTCGGGGGGTGTGTGGCCAGGGTGGGTGCAGCCTACTGGGTGAGCATGGATGGAGTGGGTGAGGCCTATTGGGTGGGCGTGGCCAGCTCTACATCGTTTGCGTCAAGGGTGCCTGTGGGGGCCTGGGCAGGAGTGGGACAGATCTGAGGGTCTCTGGCAGAAGGGGGTGGGACCGGGGCAAGTGCCAAGGCATGGTCCACTGGAGGAGCCTCACTGCCTGCTGAAATCCCTCTGCCGGAGCCCATCAAGCCGGATATGTGAAGTAGGCGAGGGCCATTTGCTGGCCACTTCCAGGCGATGGTGCATTTCTTCATTCCTCACAAAGGGTGACCCCTCCCCAGCATGCACACAGGGGATGGGGCCAACGCGGCAGTAACTGGTTCCTCGCTGTTTCCAGACAGCCTTGTGGAGCTAAGACTGAATGTATTTCAGCATAGATGGCCACCACAAAATTGTATATTGGCTCCCAGCCGGCCTGGGCCAGGGCCAAGGCAGCGGGGGCCATTCCCTCACTATTTCCAGGATGGCTTCGCGGGCCACATGAAACCACTTCGCGGGCTGCCTCTGGCACCCATGCCATAGGTTCGCCACCACTGCTCTATTGTAACAGAATATTCTCCTTTATTAATAGAGAACATGCGCATGTGCCCACGCACAGGTGGACTACTTGAACTTCTGCAAAACATGGGTTCCCACCAAGTTGGAGATGCCTTCATTCTGGCTTTAAACAGAGACCTGGGAATGCCAGGGAAAGAGGTTAGAGGTTAGAAAACCTGGTTAAAGTCCTTTAAAGTCCTTACCTCGGCCACTCCGTCCGACAAAGCGAAGGTCGTTGAACCTGGCCACCTGATTCTTCATTACAGCCGAAGCATTCCGAAGCTCGGCCGAGTAGTTTTCATCATTACCAGCCATGACCGTTACCACCGTCCCATCAGGAACGTCTCCAAGGGCTACCACCTAGAAGGAACCAAGGTGGCATTTAGAATTATTAATGAATTAAAACTGTCCATTAAACAGCATGGATTGTGACCATTCAAGGGACATTTTGGAGCCAGAGCTACGTAAATGCTATTTAACAGCCAATTTTCTTGGGAAAACCCCAAGTTGCAATCCTATAGAATCATAGAACCCCAGGGCTGAAAGGGACCTCCAAGGCAGGGGTCTGCAACCTTGACAACTTTAAGACTTGTGGACTTCAGCTATGCTGGCTGAGGAATTCTGGGAGCTGAAGTCCACAAGTCTTAAAGTTGTCAAGGTTGCAGACCCCTGCTCTAAGAGCTCCAATCCACCTCCTGCTCAAGGCAGGAGCCAAATACCATCCCGGTCAAATGGTTGTTTGCAAAAAGAATAAACATACTTAAGGCTGCAGTTCTAAACCTGGGCCTCCCCAACATCTGGATATATTGGCATTATAATTTGCAGGGGTTCCTGTTCACATGGCCACAGAAGTAAGTCAACAGAATTTATTTCTGAGAAAATAAGATTGTATTAGAGATTGTTATTGGGAGACAGAAAGATTGAAGAACTTGTGTGTGGGAAACTTTGACATGAACCGAATGAAATGTAATATAAACTTGGAATAGAAACATCCATTGGTATTTACATTTTCCATCCTATTCTGGATATGTTTCATTTATAGGATATGTTTTCATTTATTTATTTGATGCATTATTTATTACTGCAATTTCTACACTGCTCAGTTGCAAACCCCCCCCCTTTTTTTTTTTTTTACTTTTTTACAGATATTGAGAAAATATACATTTAGAAATGTCTTCCCTTCTCTTCTATTTTCCTTTTTTGAAAAGTGATTTAGATAAACATTTTTAAAAAGTGTTTAAATGCATTTAAATGTTCTCACGATCAGAATCGGGGCAGATATAACAACAAGTTATTACATTTATATATTACCCAACGACCCACAATTCTGGGTGGAATTGTTTAAGAATGAGTAAAAACAAACTGGGGCAGGAATGGCATTCCATTGTCTGTTACTAATTTTAGGGAGAACCTTCAGCTTAGAGTTGAATCTGTTTGAATACAGCACACACCTAAGATCATCTCGCGAAAAGAATTATTTTACAGTGGCTGCTAAGTCTAGTCAGCTTTCAACATTAAGAAAACAGCTTGTTGTGTACTGACCATGTTTCTCTCACTGCTCTGGCATCCTTTTACACATATTCTTTATATGGTTGTAAAAATTGTCTTTTTGTATGGCATTGTAAAAGCTTTACTTTGGGATGACTTTGAATGAAAAACTGGGTTAATATTATACTAAGAAAATAAAAGAGCCACTCTGAATGAACTTTACATAACAGAATAATAGAGTTGGAAGGGACCTTGGAGGTCTTCTAGTCCAACCCCATGCTCAAGCAGGAAGTCCTATACTATTTCAGACAAATGGCTGTCCAATATCTTATTAAAAACCTCCAGTGTTGGAGCATCCACAACTTCTGGAGGCAAGCCATTCCACTGGTTAATTGTTCTAATTTTTAGGGATAGAATAAAATTATAATACATTCCAATACATTACTAGTATTTCCTAAGCTCTTGAAAAAGATAGCTATTATACGTATCAGCCTAAAATGCAGACATACAGATACTTATCCAAGGAGTTAAGTCTAGTGAAATTGACATACGCACACATGTAATAAATATTAAGATACTGCATCTACACTCAGTAACCACTTCAATTATTATTTGACAGGTTGTATTAACTGAAATCTAGGCAACTTCAATCAATATTTTAGATTAGCATTCAAAAAACAGTTTTTAAACCACTGATTTAAGAGCAGTTCCGTTAGTACTTTTAAATTACTGTTAACACAGGTTGATTTAAAAATAGATCAAGCAAGATTTGTAGCATTGCCTCATTCTTATAACTAAGTCATGCGGCATATTTGTTTTGTTGTAAAATTAGTGCAGGATTTTCTTCATTCGTGTTATATTTCCCCAGTAGAGGAGTATCTCAAAATATTCCAAGATCACAGCTTTCCCATGGTAACTTTCCTATGTAACTATCTGCCATTGTCTAACCAACAAGTAGTAAAAATACTTGTAGTTGAATACACCTGAGAGTCACGAGATGTAGATTAGAGAAGAAACATGATAGTTCTATTTTTTAAAACTGGTAACCATAAAAGTCAGAGCAATTAGCTACAATAAAAGATTCTCGGGACATTTTTATAAAGTTTGAAAAGTTATTTCATGAGGCAAAACTGTTTATTTTTATCAGGATAAAATGAGATCCTTAAATTGGCTGACTGGAACTGAAATATATTTCTGAGCAATGATTCCATTGATTTTCCAGGAAAACGTCCATTAAGACCAGGCAACTTTCAGGGGAAAAAAAAAAGACTTTGACAAGTTGGGTATTATAAGAGTTAAAATAGAATGTGAGATTAATTAGTTATAGAGATTAATTATTGATTATTTTTTTAAAAATTCCATAGTTTGTGGACTTTTAGAGAGATTATATTAGAGCCTGATAATTTTAAAAAACTATATACTCTTTCAGGTCATTTTTTTAAAAAAAATAAATAAGCAAAATTGATAATGTCTTTACCAAGACCACACTTTACATCTGGAAAAAAGGTATCCAGTTTTGACACCTCTTCTCTAATTCAAAAGCATGCTGGGCTGGGGGATTCTGGGAGTTGACGTCTATACATTTTTAAGTTGCCAAGTTTGGAAATGTTGCACTATGGGAATCTGAAGATGTCCTTTCCACCTCTAGCAAAAAAATGAATGCATAGGGTTACCCCAGTGGCAGCTAACCCTCGCTAAATTAACAACTATATCATATAATCATTCTTCAAAATGTTGGAGGGGCTGTAGAGATAAGGGATCATTTTACCCTAGGTTATGGTCCTGTGATAAAATAACATCCTTTTTGTTAGGTTTTTTTTTTTTTTAGTAAAATTAGCACTATTACAAAACAAAGAGTTGAATGCTCTTGTAAGCTGCGGCTCTGACCTTGAGGGATACGATCTGAGGCTACACTGAAAAATAATGTAATGGCTTTCTTGCTAATTATTTCTCAGTGTTGGAAATATCTGGAAACTCTATTTAAAATTTGTTAATATTAATAGAGTTTTTTCAACCACTTGATTAAAAATATTTATTGGTAAAATTAGGATAATGAATCTTCAGGGGCAAGAATTACCATTTTGGAGAGTTTATATTTATTATGTTAATAGTAAAATTAATTTTGTCAGTTCTCACATTATTTGGAAATTATGAACAACTCTGGATTCTTTGTCTTTCTTCTTTTCTGCTTCTTATTACACCTTCCATATTCTTCACTTCCCCCACCACGTAAATTACTATTCAGTAAAAGTATAATTGAAAAATTGTTGGGTTAACATTATTCTGATTCTTTATTTGTTTCACTTATTTAAATCCAATTTAAATAAAAACATCCTAAAGGGGCTTTTTCCAAAAGGCAATTGGACTTTCTTGGGATTTTTTTTTTGAAAATGTTTGTGCTTCTGAACAGGAAAGTCCAGTTGCCTTTTGGAAAAAACACCTTTGAGACAACCATGATCTGGATTTGAGAATCTCCATAGACATTAAATAAAACACTAAGTTAATATTTAAATCATGTTTCATTATTTACAAAATCCATTTTACCCGCCTTACTTGGGCTTCGATTAAATAGCTTTGTTGATGCTTAGAGTAAATAATTTGATATATTTTTCCCTATTTCCAAGACCGCAATACTATCTGAGAGGTAACTTGGTAGCAATGTATTTTAAAAGCTAGTTTCCTTGATAACAATATCTTGTCAAAAGTGGGGAACAAAGTTTAACATCCATTTAATTTAAGTCAAGTAAACAACAAATTTAGAAAATATGGGTCCATGGATCAGGTCTTACCTTTTGAGAGAGCTAAACTTTCTCAAAAGTGTTTCTCAACCTTGCCCACTTGAAGATGTGTGGACTTCAACTCCCAGAATTCAATCATTTAAAGCTCAGTCCTCTTTCATTTTGTATTACAAGGAGAAAATGGGACAGCTGTGCTTTTAATTCAAAGGCCTGCCTGTAAATGCAGTTTTTTTTCCAGAAACAAGCACGAATCTGAGACTAAGGAGGGACAGTTTACCTGCAAATTTAGTGGAAAAGTAATTGCCTTCTTACAGGAACCTTGCAGGAGAAATGTTATATTAGTGTGCGGCTGTCAAAAATCTGGTAACAGATTTTATTAAAAGGTATCAGATGTTGTGAGCTGCACCTACTACATTATCAGGGCAACAACTAAGGGGCCTGACAAAGAAAAACAGGTGTTATCTCCGGATTAACTCCTTTCATGGTGGCATGTTATAGTCAGTTTAGTGCAATGGATCAGGCCCTAACATTGCGAACCTGCCCAATCTACGGAAATAAAGCTTGTAGAAATCAGTAAGACTTGTTCTCAAGTAAGTGGCTATAGGATTGCAGCCTAAAAGTGTATAATTTGGCGGCATCACACCCAGTTCAACTTCACTTGTTAATTAGTTTAATGGCTAGATTAAGACCTTGCTTCGCTAAATTATTATTTTTGTTGATGCAACGCCCTCAGAGGTTCATAATCAGAAGAGGCTGTTTCCTGCCTCAGGAGCTCCCAGTCTTAAACGCCAATATTTTCAGACAGCACCGTTGGGTTCATGCACACTAGCGAACCACACAACAGCTTTGTGAGTTGGGTGACCCCAACTGGAGAGAGATTTGGCTCCTAAGCCATGGTTTATGTGAGCTTTATTAATTGAGCCACAAACGCAGGAGTTCTGCAACACACTCAGCCAAACAACAGCAATTTGTTTCATGGCTTTGAGAGAAGGGTGATCAAACCCATGGAGAAAGAGAAGCTGGTCTTACTAAACCACGACTGATCAAAATTCATATTCCCCTAGAGAGGTTATTCTTAAAAGTGGAAGGGGGAAAACATTAGCTGGGTTCATGAAATACTCCAAACCAAAAATA